GGACACGTTTTGACTGCTCGTATACCATGCGCAATACCGAATATGGTATATCCCAGCTTGCACCTTCGGCCTTTGCGTGGATTCTCGTGAAACGAATCACAAACTGGTGCTGAAGTTGACAATTACACTGAAAGAGGGACAGATTTTCAGCTACTTTAATGCTTAATTCTGAGACCGTTCACTATGAGCGTACCTATACTCGTATGCTGTGTGTACAGACTTAGATGTCAATTGAATAGACCACTAAAATCACCGATGCTCTCTTCATAGTCAATGATATAGTAGGTACTGCACGAACAGAAACAGTGTAGGCAACAGGCCACGCAGTATACTGAGGGACTACCCTATCACAGGGATCTGGAACGTTCGTCGTTCGAACATCTTAGCTCACTGCACTGACAGATGCTGTCGCCCAAGCAGCTGCACACTCCACAACTAAGACGCGATTGAACCTCGGATGGAGCAGGAAAAGATCATAGACAGAAACAGGAAAAGTGCGACCACGATAGCAACGGCGCCAAAAAGTTTGCTGTTCTCGTCAATGAAGTCGACCATCTTCTGGTAACATCCGTCAGTGTTGGCCCCGCATGAGTCCGGTTTGTGGATGCCCCTAGCGTTGTAGTCTGCCGGTCCATTGACTCCACAACACTCGAACTGAAACAGGGCGACGAAGGTTAGTGAGAGGCACATCCACAGGACCGATCCGATAGATCGACTGGCTGCATAGTATGACGGAGGAGGGGATGGAGGGGGATGGAGCGGACAGGAGTGGACCCGACGGACAAACAGACAGACGGACGGACGGACGGAGAAACAGACAGACAAACAGATGAAGCATACTAGGTAGGTAGCGGGCGGTATTTACATCTACGTACTTTCTTGTATACCGGCATATATCACTCATAGGTAGGTTAGTATTCAGCTTTAAAAAACCAGCCATCATACCTACATGTTAAAAGAAGGTAGATATGTTACTGCCTAGTGCCTACATATGGTTACCTTTTAGCCCTTTCGTGAAACCTATACGACGACAGCACTCTTCATTTTAACTTACGCCTTCCTGCACATCATCCCAGGCGTTCTTGGTGTCGGTGTTTATTCCGTAGTTGTTCAGCGAATCGTTGAGAATGTCCTCGAGGCCTTCAGTGATGGCATCGCCGCCGAGCACGAAGCCGGCCACGGCGCCGGCAGCGGTCAGCACAAAGAGCACCAGCACCAGGCCGAAGAACGTGCCCAGCATGCACCGGCTCTCCTGCAGACAGAGTTACAGGTCAGAGATCACACACACTCGCCAGAGGGGTCACTCTCCACAGTCAAGGATGGAGTCAGAAATCTAGGTAAGCTACCTCAAACCCAGATCCGACGATGCATGTCCTCACCTGGTACCTAGACGTCACCAGCGGGCATTGTGATTCAACATTTTGGTACCCTTACGCAACAATTACGGTTAATTTGAATAATGTTTGCAGTATCTGACGCCTTCCGATGAAATAGTTTCATCCATACATGTGCATCAAGCTCTTTTTTTTACTACACTTTGATAGGTAAATTCCGAAAATGGCCATAAGCATAAACATATCGTCCCAAAACGCTGCGCTACGCAACGCGGCTTTGTTGATCTTCGGTGCCTGATAGTGGGCACGTCTTATCGTCCTAACTTGTAGGCAGGCTGAGCCTTACCACGCGCCCATAGCTCAAACATCGATAGCAGGACGGCCTCTGTCCGTCCTGCTACTTATGTGTGCCTCTGCACCATGGCACACACTTGACAGAGCTTCTACCGCGGGTAAAGCTCGCGTCGCATGCACCGTTAGAAACTATCAGCTGCATTATGCTTACTTGGCTTACTTTATTGTCGTTTAATTTAGCATCTTTTTCTATAGCTATGCGTGGATCTTTTTTTTAAGTTGCAATGTGAAGCAATGAAGTTGATAGACAATTTCAAGATCGCGGATCTCGATACAATGCATAAAATTCCTTCAAATCATCACCCAATAAAAATGAAAATATTTCACATATCGATAACAATTGCGGATCAACGGAAAGGATCCGTTTTAATGCTACATATGAATTATGAACCATCCCTGGGTATGCAATGTCCTACCGCTTCGGTTGAAACTTAAAGGGACCCTCCCACCTTCAAAAAAGTTAATGAATTGGCATGAAAGTGATGTCGCTCGGTTCAGAAAGAGCGAAAACGAATATCTACCAAATTTCACCGAAAAATATTCACCGGTTTTCAAGATATTAGACTTTTACTTTTGTTTACTTTTTGGGATCTCCGCTGTTCCTAGCGACTTTATTTGAAAGTGCGGCATTTGTTGCGCGCAAAGCAGCATATACCACCGCGTGCTACAAAACGTTTTAGTCAAACATTTAACGGACGTTCGAGAGCCTGATGACGTCATCAGATTCCCGTAATGGTTAAGAGATAGGGACCACGCTGGTCCCACCCTGCAAGTAAAGGGAAGAAATTTCTTGAACACCATAAAGCTGCGGGGGTTGCGACCAGGATAAATGGTGGTTTCTGAGCCTGGCCGCAAACTTGGCTATCTCAACTCAAAACTAATGTTAAGGTGGGAGGGTCCCTTTAAACGGACCACCCATGCAGGCTTAGTGTTACCTTCATGTGCAGCATTGAAATCAGTTTCTCCGATAGCGATTGGGCGTCGAATGTCTCGGCAAAACGCTCAATGATATGTAACACGAAAATGCCAATGTCAGTGGCTCGAATCATTTTGACCATTAGACTGCGATATATGTTGAGATATGCGACTTGCATTCCTGTGACTGAGACAGGTAAGGAGAGGGCCGCTATAGGCCTACCCGAAGCTGACATTGAGGATTCAAAAGCCCTATAGCACTTTCCCCTGAAGGGGCACCCGGCCAGCACATGGTTACCTGGAAGGCGCCGCAGCAGCCAAAGAAGCTGACGACCACGATGAGGCCGCCGGCGGCGATCATCACGATGGCCGTGCCAGAGAGCAGGTCGCTGTCGATGAGGTAGCCCAGCGTGGCGCCATCGTTGGACAGCGCGTAGGCGCCGACGCCGATCAGCCCGCAGCCGCCCAGGAAGATGGCCAGCGTCACCAGGCCGAACAGGTACTTGATGATGCTTTCGCAGCAGTTCATGGTGCGGCCGGCTGGAGGTGCGGGTGGGGTGGTCCGGTGCGGCGCAGCATGAGGGCGCGACTGCAGTCGCCACCGGGGCCGACGCGGACCGACGGCGACAAGCGCGCTATCTTATCGCACCTGTTTGCCCGCCGCGCCGGCCGAGGTTTTGTGTGTGCGGAGCGTGGGCTCGAGAACACGTCAGGTTGTGCGTCATGTGGGTCTCGAGGAGGGAGACGCGTCATAGGTCACGACCGAGGCGGGTCACCCGGAACTTGGCTGATAGTGGCGCGTGGTGAAACACGCCACTTCGAGGGCCGTCTTACTCAGTCGATAGCGCGAGGCAACGACTTGAACAACTAGCTAATTTCCTCTAGTGTTTTTTTTTTAGAACGGAGCTGAAAACGACGCTTAGGTTGATGTCTGACAAGTGAAGAAACACGAAATTGGATGTCATGTTGCGCTGGTGTTGAATATAATGTAGGTATGCGTACCACTCATTACACAGGCACCTGTACAGTGTACGGTGGGGTACACGCATCGGTGCGCACACCCATATGTTTGCTGTCTTTTTGTGCATTGAGAAGTGGCAAAGAAAGAACTGTTTTACGTCATGCTTGCAGAAGCTCGAAGATAAGTTCTCGGTAATGGAACAGGCGCCTGTCTCATAGGTATACAGGGTGATCCAAAAAAATTGGAACCCCTAACTTAAAATGTCTATAAGTCCGAAAGTGTCCACTTGATTGACAAATTGCGAACACCATTAGAAAAAAACATTAAATTCTCTATAAAATCACGTCAAATTGGTGCATGTATAATGTAAAGCATTGCCACACTTAGCTTTTGGAATGAGCGTGAGAAAACTGAGTGAAACGAAATCGCCAAATGTTAACAATGCGCTGAAATCCGTTAGCACTCTATCTGCTGTCTTTTTGCGAGTAACACCACATCCAAATTCAATTTTATTACATAAAAGTTACACAGAAGCACACAGTAGAACAGATACACGCGTCCTAGCTTCCGCTGTTCATCCCAGCATGTGTTCAACGCGAGCTCCGTTGGCCGTCACGCAGGCATGCAGTTGCTTGGGGACAGCTACGACTGCGCGGGCCAGCAGTCTCTGGGACAACTGGTCCCAGCAGGCCGTCAGCCTTTCCTTTCCTTACAATAGCACGTGAATGAGCTATTTTTATTCATGACCTCCAACAAACGACAGGTCAGAACAGCAAACCGTCAGGCGTCAATCACTGATTTGCGCATAATGTTCAAAAACGTTTCACTGAGTTTCGTGACACAAATTTTATAGGCATATGTCTAGGGCAATATTTATAGTAATAATTAAGTTCAATCGACTTGGTTTTATAGAGAATTGAACGCTCTTTCTAATGGTGTTTGCAGTTTGTCAATAAAGTGAAAATTTTCTGACTTACAGATATTTTAAATTAGGGGTTCCAATTTTTTTGGATCACCCTGTATATTCGGGTCAGTGAGTGGGGTATCGGACAGACAGTTGGGTGTCGTTTAATCCAGTGTGTGTCGTTTGATTATGTTTGTAGGTGTTAGTTTGATCCTCGTTTCTATAACTATTCAGGCAGCTGGAACTAAGCGGTCGCGAGAAACACGCTAAACCGGAGGGACCGTGTATGTGATACCTACCCGCGATAAATAAACTTTCCACAGAAATTATTACCGATGAACCGGGCGTGGGCCGAAAGGCTAGTGAATAGTGATGGGTCATTCGCGACAATTACTGCTTAGTACTTAGTGAGACACCAGGGCCCACAGGCATCCACTTATTCATTCGGATTGCATATAGGATGTCAAAAACCTTTTTATGTCAATTGTATTCGGTGGAGTTCCCGGTATCCGCGAAGTTTGGATGCGATTCATACCTCTTTAAGTCTTTATTGTGCCCACATGTTTATGTACATTTTCACAGCAGCATGAGCATTGAGATATTCATTCTCCGCTTTTGTTGCAATATGTTTTTCCTCACAACTCCGGAAACGAAGCTGTCACATGTCCATTGTTGTAAAAACAAGAGAATAGGTACTATTGTACGCATTCAACCCGTGCAAAACAATTGTTATTTCGGCTTACTGATTCACTGCGGTAGCCGGTAGAATATGTTACTGCTACGAAAATCAACTCAGAAGAGAAACCCGCAGCAAAGCATCAATAAGTTAATAGCTCGTGGACGGGGCACTGTATCCACTGGACGGGGCACTATATCCACTGGACGGGGCACTGTAACCGCTAGACGGGGCACTGTAACCGCTAGACGGAGCACTGTAGCCGCCGGACGGGGCACTATAGCCGCTGGACGGGGCACTGTAGCCGCCAGACGGGGCACTGTAGCCGCTGGACGGGGCACTGTAGCCGCTGGACGGGGCGTAGCCGCTGGACGGGGCACTGTAGCCGCCACTCAGTCCCCCGCCGTACCCGCCGCCGCCCGAGGACGAGCCTTTGACGATGCGCGGCGCGGAGAATGTACGGGTGGAGATGGTGCCCCCGTTGTAGCCGCGCCCGCGGAACAGCGCGCTGCCGCTGACGTACGTCGGACGCCGCAGCGGCGCATAGATGATGCTGTAGTCGCGCGCCGGGCCGTAGCCGCCCGCCCCGGCGCCGCCCGCGCCGCCGCTGCCGTACCCGGCACTGACGATACCGCCGCCGCCTCCCAGGCTGTACCTGGTCACGGCCCCGCCGCCGTACCCGCCGGCACTGCCGCCACCGTATCCGCCGCCATTTCCACCGCTGTATCCTCGGCTTCCACCGCTGCTGTATCCTCCGTTTCCTCCGCTGCTGTATCCGCCGCCGCCGCCTCCGCTGCTGTGACTGAAGCCGAAGCCGCTCACCTCACCGCCGAGCCCCTGCGGCGCTCCGTAGCGGCCGTCACTACGGCACGCCGCCACCAGGAGGGTCAAAGCCAAGGTCTGCAGGACATACCGTGAGCGTCAGAGGGGTCACCGTCCATAGTCCACCAGTGGGACAGGACACGGTGTGAATTATAACGGATCGATCAGTGAACTTCCATGAAGGAGTGCAGAGGTCGTTTTGGAATGTCTGTATGAACCCAGCGTAATGAACATTCTGCTTACGGTAAATATCGACCATAATTGAAAGTTGTTTCCAAGATGAAAATAACAAACAACGTCTACTTTCATATTAAAATGAGCTAAAAGACAAAACATAAGTACACATAAACGATAACTTCTTCATTATTTCGTCAGTAGTTGCAAGAAGGACAGTCGCACCCGTATCAAACCAGAGCCGTTTTGTGGTATTATATATCACTACATTCGCCCCCCTCCGTGCAGTTTCGCTGTGATGGGACCGTATTCGTCACTCTCTCACCCTGAAGAGAAGCATGTTGTCGGTTGCTGCGCTGCCGCCGGTGCAGTGTGCCCTGTGTCGGCTCCGCGCTCCGTTATATAGGAGCGACCCTCGCCGGTCGACGTTCGGTGACCCGCGGGGGTCAACCGAAGGCCGCCGGGCCTCCACTGGCGCCCACAGTGAAAGGTCGAGCGGCAGCGGCACCAGGCGATCCCTAATGACTCCCCCTAGAGCGGCGCGGGATGACTCGACAACACCGCCCGCCGAGGGGAGGGGGGGGGGGGGCAGTGAGGATGGTCAGTGGCCGAGGGTTTTCCGAGCCAAACGGTCGCAGGGACCGTGACCCATATACGAATTTGTGTGTGAAGTGGACAGGTAAAAAGTGATCCCTTAGAGACCATGCGTTACATCAATGGTAGACAAAAACCGGACGCACAGGCTCATCGGGGTCCCGCTCAGACTTAATGCTCAGCTTCACAGGAATGGGATGACAGCATTCACAATACCTCTGGCATTGAGGCGTCAAGTGCGCTCTAAATCACGCCATGCTGACTAATATAGACACTAACATTAGCCGCCTAAATGGTTGCTGAAATACGTCTGTCAAGACAGTCACAGATTCTTCTGGAAATATGATGCCCTTATACCAGCCTGTGAGACGTTTCACAAGATTAGCGAGCACTCTCGAATTCGAAGCAGCCCGTAGCTCTCGAAGCAGCTTGGATGAATATTGTATGAACATCGAACAAAACCTTTCGAAGCTGTAACCGGTATTGAAGAATTTACATTTGCAATGTCGCAATGTGTCGTGTTTCGAGTGAACGAATGATTATGATTGCTATTTATCAGTCATAGACCTCTGAGACCTCTGTATATATATTCAGAGGTCTATGTATCAGTGCAAGACTTGTCGCAATAACTGTTGAATGGCATTGATCGAACTCGGAATAAAGCAATACCAACCAGCGGTAAACGATCTACCTAAGAAGTGAGAATCCAATATAATCCAATAAAAACTAATTTTTATATAGGTACGATAGACCGCTGCCCACGCCCAGTAGCCAAGTCACCGAGTTTCCATTTCGTGCATGCATCAATATGTTAGTAGCACGCTTGCATCCCCTCAATATGCTAGTTAGCTGAACTGAATCGCCACGAACCGATAGCCACTGAAAGATGCTGGAGCTTAAATCTTACACTCACATGTAGCCATCTCTCGGGCGATATATCTTATCAAAGTTTTGCTCCCCGTGGAGGGCGGAGTCTCTTGAACACTGAACGGCCACGCCACACACTTCAGGGCCGATTTTGACGAGCCCCGAGACCTCAAACACGGACAAAGTCCAACTATTCAGCCTTCAGCGGCACTGCGGTCGTCACTTCGCAGTCCGCACCATCACACCATTGACGACTGCTGCCCTCTGCACTGCATGATCTCATGGCTGGGCACTTAAGCAACATAATCCGCCCCGCTAAGCCTCTGCAGGTTAGCACACTTCACGTGAAAAAAAAAAAAATAGATGAGCTGTCGCGAAGATCACAACACCTCCGGCACAGGTCAAAATCGGCGTTTAGCGCAGCTAGGAGCTTTTTCCAATCGTATACGAGCGAAAAATTTTGTGGTACATGACTTCTCTGTTTGGCCCTCTAGGGGCAATGAACCAGCGCGCGGCCGCTGCGCAGCCAAGACGTCCGTCGCGGTCACGTGACTTAGGCTAGGGGACGCGCGCCCGCGATAACGTTGTGTCCCATTTCTGCCTGGTTTGTCTGGCGACACACGCGTTGCCGTCCGCCTCCCCGCCGCCGCCATGTCATGTTATTCGCTTGTCGCGTGTTATACCTCATCGGGCTGTCACCTCACCCAAAGACGCTGTTTTCGTGAGAATATAGCCCCGAATCACTCTCGCACCGTCTTTGCTAGCGCGTAGGAGCATTGGAAAATAGCATACAGATCAAATAACAAAACTCCTTTAAAAAATCAGATCAGTTATCGGATAGAGCGGAGAAGCTTCCAGACAGACCACACCTATCAGCCTCGGACAGATCAGCTCATTTATCCGCACGTATAAAGTGCATATATTTACTGTACATTGAAGTACCACTACCATCATATACTCTTCTTAAAAGATGATCGATTGGTTAACAGGTCAGAGCTTAGCATTGGCTGGTAATAAGAAGTTTGCTAGGCGCGGCAGCCGACAGATCATTCGATGTCTGATCGTTTCAACTCGAGCCACGGGGACGTGTAAAATCGCGTGGCGATCGAGTGAGTAGTGTAGCTGGGACTGCAAAGGCAAACATGCTTACGAATTACGATGTCAGTCGCGTCAAATCTGCCGTTAAACACACCATGTAAGAAGGCAAGATCGTGTTAATTGTGACAGCCGACTTGTGATTCGTTAAACCTTACAATGATTGAGTAAGTGGGCGTAGTTCAATAAATCAGATGGTTTGAATCAATGTGACGATACATTTCATAGCCACGGATGGTTAGAGTGTCCGCTATCTATTGACTCGACAGTGTCCACTCTTTTGAGTAATCCTTTTCGGGCCCGGTGCATGTGCTGTTTTAGTCCGCCGAGTGGACAAACGGCGCAATATCAGCCGTGTGACCACACATGATATCGACAGGGTGGCCGGCACAGTCGGGAGACGGCTATAGGTTAGAGCTCAGGTCCCACCAATGTTCGTGTATCTACAGGGTGTCATTTATGAACGAAATAAAAAAGACGGCTACCAGAGACATTGTGTTTAATTCTATACACTGGCGGTCCCAGGGGGGGGGGGGGGGCCACGGGGGCCATGGCCCCCCCCCCCCCTTTGGTGCTGAAAGGTGGGGCCATACTATCTTTTGGCCCCACCTTTCAGATCGAACAAAAGTCCTAGAAAAGCTTTTTGTATGTTTCATTTTCTTTGTTGCGCCATCAAAGGACGTAAATTTCACTCATGAGTGGGCTCAGTTTCGTATTCTGTCAATTTGGCGGTCAGCGTCGCTGGCACCGGTTCACGAGTATGGCCGCATCTTACATGGAATATCAGCGTGGGTTTACTTGAGGCTCTCGTAGGCCCAGCAATGGCTGGCATGAGACCTCTTCGGCAGTGGCGGGTGGGCCCTGCCAAAGGAGCGTGGCTCTAAGACACTAAAGTAAGACCTCTTGGGTCGGTGCTGTGCACCTCAGAAGCCCGGTGGTGACGCCGTATGCCGGCTTGGTTTCTTAAGGATTAGCGTGGGATCTCCGGGGCCTGCGTAGAGTTTGCATTAGCTAGTATGTAATTTCAGAGGCCTGTATGTAATGTGTACACAGTGGCGGTCGCGAGGGGCATCAGGGCCATGCCCTCCCAAGGCACATAAAGGGGGCCATCATATCATTTGCCCCCCCCCCCCCTCAAGCAACCGATGGGCCCCCATAGGTGTATGGGACCCTGGCCCTGATTCGATCGTCACGAGGCTAAAAAACACGCCCACACCGGTCTTTGAGCGTCCAACACTGACCTCTGAGGGAACTTCAGTGGCGGTCAAGCGCCCACGTTGACCGCTAAGAGCCCACATCGACCTCTGAGGCCCCACATCTGACCTATGAGGACCCTTTACCGGCCTCAGGGGCCCCAACCGGCGTCTGAGGGTCTCACACCGGTCTCTAGTGGCCTTATTGCTGTCTCTGGTGTCCCAAGACGAACATTTAGGTGCCAATGAGGGCCCCGCATTGGCTGCTGAAGACCCGATGCTGGCCTCTAAGGGCCTGCATTGGCCTCTGAGGAGGGCTCATCTTGGCCTTTGAGGGCCCTCTGCTGGCCTCTAGGTTCCAACGACGGCTCATTCCGGTCTTTTAGGGCCCCACGCTGACCTCTGAGGGCCCCATGTTGGCCTGTAATGAGTAGGACCCACATAAGCCTCCGAGACCCCAACTCGGTCTCTGATGGTCTCAAACTACTGGCCTTTGCAGTTTGCAGGCCCTGTACTGGTCTCTGAGGGCCCTAAACTGGCCTCTAAGTGAAAACATACATGGGTGGGCTTCTGAAGATCACAGGGCTCACGCAGACTCCTGCACAGCCGTACGTTGGTCTTGATCGAGATTACTTTACGTCCTGATGGTCCCGCGCAGATTTCCTCATATTTCGACGTCGGGACCCCATGAGCCGGTGTGGGTCCTGGGGCTGGCAGAGACTGATGAAGTCCTTAGGGCTCAGGGCAAGTCTTTTTAGCAGTAGGACTATAAGGCAGGTTGAGTGAGCCCCAATAGAGCCGTTGCGAGGCCCCGCGCGAGTCGTGCGCGGCCCTCAGATGCCAATTTTGAAAACCAAGAAGCTGTGGGGCCGGGGGTCTCCAGAGGTCGGTGTACCTATTCTCTCCCGCCGCCAAAGAACTATATGGGTAAATGTCATAGTCTGAAAATGATCTCTGGGTTTCACATGCTTGTTCAAAGCAAGAGGTATCCGTACTTTTCCGAATTGTTTTATTGTGGTAAGGTCATGAATCCGCGTGCCCGACCTTCCAGTATATGCTACACCGATCCGTCGCCATGGTGCAGTGGCCCGACCGGTGGAAACACCGTGGGACGGGAAATGGAACTGGTGCTTTTGCCTTAAATTGAGCTTAAAGATTTCACGCAAGAATGAGGTGGATGAAGCATAAGTAATGCCAACTGCGCGGCGCCTCGTGGACGTAAAAAATTAGCCGATCACCCCCCCCCCCCCCCGGTGACTGATGTTATGTTGATGTTAATGTTATGTCCCGCGAGTGTGACTTTGGCCCCCCCTTTTGCGAGCGGCTGCGACCGCCAGTGATTCTATAGCGATGAAAGACCAAGCATTCTTCTTAGAATCGTATAATGTCATTCGGGGTTAGGCATACCGTAGCGATCACCGTGTGATAGGGGAGAGTGGGGAAAGATGCCCAGGGTTTTGCTAATTGCTATGTCATATATTATTGGAAAATGACAACCGGAAAGCAAAAACTTGGAGTTTCAACGGAAGCCGACATCATTTTTCTCGAAAAATATCACACTTTCGTGCCTGAAATATGATAGCTTTTTTTTGCTATTAAGCATTTTCCTGAAGAAGTGAGAGGGAGCATCTTACCCTACAGGGTGGGAAAGACGCCCCCTGGGGTTGGAGAAGATGCCCCCTGCACTATAAGTGACATAAATGGGCACGTGCATCGCCTGAACGAATCAGTAGTCCCTTCGAGCCTGCAGTAGACACCAAACGTCATCGTAAGGGCCCTCAAAAGTAGTCGTAAGGGGCTTCAGAGGTCATCG